AAAAAAAAAAAAACAAAAAAAAACTGACATTTCTCCTATTCCTTTTACTGCATAAAATGCCCCATGTGATTTTGTATTTGACTTATGAATAGGTGATTTGAGAGTATGTCTCATTCCTTCAGTAGTAGCAGCTCTATTGGCTCTACATTTTCTTTTTGCAACTCCTGGTAGTTTTCAATTCACCGCAAAATCACATATAACAAATATGAAGGCGCAAGTGACATCTACCTTGTTTGCAATAGCAGTCGATTTTGTTATGTTATTTTCTAGGAAAAGTTGGTGACTGGAAGAACCATTTCACCGTGGCTCAAAGCGAACGCTTTGATGCACTTTACGAGGAACAGATGAGAGGAAGCGATTTGACCGTGGATTTCGAAGCTGCTTAATGACTTTAGAGGAAATTTGTTACAAAATTTTTTAGAGAGCAAGTTTAAATATGATTTATTAGGATGGGATGAAGCCATCTAATATTACTTAAAAACATTTTCCGGTTGAAACTTTTACTGTCGCATGTGACTTTACCGAGTAACATTGAGTCATCAGCGTAATTATTTCAATACAGAAGGTTCTCGAATCCACATCATTATCAGGCCCGTAGCCAACAATTTCAAAAGGGGGGGGGTCTTTTTCCGAAAAAGTGAACCTTTTACAATGAATCCTTAGTGCACATTTACCCAGATTAGACCTTTTCCTGACAAAAAGGGCGGTTCTTTCGAACCCCCCGAACCCCCCTGGCTACGGGCCTGAATTATTATCAACTGAAATAAAAGTAAATGTTTTATATGTACTCCTTTTTTAATTGCCTTGACACATACAGATATGTTTGTCAAACAAGCGAATTAAGCACCCACAAATGTGACCACATCGGCCGCCACACCACATTAAAAACATACTTCAGAAATGAATGAATAAAAATGCTTAAATAAAAACTTAACTGTTCAGGGTCTTTCACAGTTCGCTTTGAAAAAAGTAAAAGGTTTGTGAGTGAATACAAAATAACGGCGTGCTTCTGTACCAAAAGAAGACACTTTAATTTCAAAATGTCTAAAACCTCTAGATTTTCGCATTCGCCATATCAGCGTCGACTTCGTACATAGTCCGTATTCTGGACAGTGTGTCCTCACTGACCTTCCCGTAGTACTCTGGCATCAGTTCCGAAGTTGGCATTTCAAGTTTAGTCCGCGGCGGGTACACAAGACCCGGATCTGCTTTGGCCATTTTAAGAATATTTCTGGCATCTTCCTCGATCGTGTCGTAATACCCTACTACGTCATACTCTATTCCACAAGGGTGGCACAGACTGTGAGGAAGATCCCAATGGCGATCCGGATTATCTTTGTGGTCTGCGACATACCTGAGGAACTCCTCGAAGGTTATATTTGATTTCTGAAATGCCATCACGGCGCTGGGTTCTATGTGGTAAACCCCGTCCACAAGTTTAATTTGTTTTCTCTCAGGAAATATTGGCGCCATCTTTCGGTAGTTTACCAAAACGTAGTTCCCGACTTCTGCAGCTATCACAGGGTGTTCTGGATCGAAATTTTCCACTTTTGTCCGATATGATGAAAGCAGTCTTTCAAAGGGGTTCCTGAGAAAAAAGAACTTGAGATACGATTTCAGAAGTTTTTCGATTTCGGCTTCCGGTAATGTGTTTAACTGTGTCACGTATTTCGCCCATAGAACGTAGTGGATTTGGTTATCCGGTTGGGACCACACGAAACTTTCGTTCAGTTTCCCGGACATTATCAGCAGCACTCGCTTCCAGTTCGTATTACAGATTGTCGGTACCCGGCAAAATAGGACCTGGTGATTGTCCTCTGCGAACAAATGTTTGTAGTCGTCTAATCCCAGTTTCCTTGTGTACATGTTGTACTTGAGGCACACGCTTTTAATAAGGTCTTTCCGACGCTGAATTTCTTGGAGCCACGCTTCGTGACTTCGTTCCTCCTGGGAGAAAATAATAGTTGCAATGGTTATGAGAAATACAGACGTAAATGTATTATAAGTAGCAATACATGTAATTCTAAATACTCCTATATGCAATATTGAAAAGTTCTTTATAACAAATTGCGGAAATATCACGCTAGTTTGTGGCCACGTTGATCGTTATCCTTTCTAATGTCGATGCTGAGATTTCTACTGTTTGTGTTTGGATAATTTCTTATTGTAAAATACATATAACCATCTTGGCGAACCTTTTCAGTACGATCTAAATACTTTCTTCAGAAATATTTTAAATTTACATAAGCTGTGTTTAGTTCCTTCCACCTTCGTGCTTGTCAAAAGTTTCCTAATTTTAGACAAGCACAATTTTGCCTTTTACATAGCATCAAAAAGGCAGATACAAATTAATATCCACTTCACTCTGCACTTAAATGTTTACGTGTGTGTGTGTGTGTGTGTGTGTGTGTGCACTTGTGTGTTAATGTGCTTTTGTTTGTAATTCAAATTAAAAGAAAATTTGTTTCTCTGCATACTACTAGCATTTTCTCTAGCACGTGATTTTTTCTTTGTTTTAAACCGTAACCCGCAAAGCAATATCGGATTGAGCATTTTATAGATACACCCATAGTCTTTTAAAATATGCTAAATGAACCCTTCGTTTTTTCCAACAACATATCCACAGTATTGCAATCACCGTCAAAACGCTGATTCTTCGGAAATGGGACAAAACCTGTGCATGTTATGGCAGCGAGTTAGAGTAAGTATTTTTCAAGAATACATCTCAAGAATAAAATCGTTTTATCTAAAAAAATCTAATATATCATGCATTATGCCTGCAACGGCAATTATGTTCACAACATTACAGTGGTGAAATCAGCCGCTGTTATTACCTGAACTGCAAGGTAGCGTATGGACCGTGGATTTAAAGCTTCAAAGTCAATATCTGAAAGTGAGTATAATCGGTTAATTTCGCTGCAAATGAGTGTAGATCATTAGAAATGTCGCCTGACCCGCATAGTGAAGTGAGATTAGGCCAAATATGATATACCTACCGTCATTGTCATAACCAGTTTGTTTCACCAGCGCGCTTGTTTTCAAACAAAGAAATACGCCAAATCATCGATCGAAAGTAAAATGATTTTTCCCCTTTTATCGAGAATAATTTACGGAATTTGAAACGACTAGCTTCTACTAACAAGTCAGTATTATTTCACATCACTGAATATAAAGTTTTCACAGTAATCCATCAAAGCGTGGCAGAAGAACTCTAAATGCAATACAGATATTAATAATTCACGAGGTATTTCTCATCAATTTTTTACACAGTTTGCCGTTGAACTAGCTTCGTAATAGTAAGCAGTATAATATAGATAAATATCCTGTAGTGGCAACGTTGTCGTCTTGAAAAGCTATACTCTCGGATCTTTCATATCCCTACAATAATGACCTTATGTACTGCAGTAATTCTGTATCTAAATAACGTTCATGTAGCCGCATCCTGAAAGCGCTTCAGGTTTTGGGATGTCTTCTATAACTTACTTACATCATCCAAAACAAAAATCCATAATAGATCTATCCTTGAAATTATTCTATGATTTGAATATCTTAATTACAATGTGTGATTTAATACCGTGGATAAACACTTTTATTTCGAGTCATTCACCTTTAATAATTGAAAAAGAAATCGCATACCAAACAATCTGACTTAAAAATATATAATATAGAGCCTTACCTAGTAATCTGTAAATTACGTGAAGAAACAGCACAGCAAGGATCAACGCGAGCATACGCCGACGAAATACATAAGACAGCAACGGTCTCACGTACTTGTAACCCGGCCTACTGCTGCTAAACGTCGGCATTCTTTAAATGAAAGGCAACGTTGTCGTCGTCTCTCTTTGTCTCTCGCGTTTGCGAGATATGAAACCTCTTTTCCCTTGGTCTCAGCGTTACGAATTCTTTTTTTTTTAATTTAGAGGATATACGAAGTTGTAGCTCTGTTATATTACTACACCCACATCAGCAGCCAGTTTGGACTAAATGTGCTAGTCTCATTTTCAAAGCACAGACGCTTCACAAAAATCCGCCATAACTTAGTGCCACCTATACTCCATCGACGTAAACCATAATTTATTTCCTAGAGTACACGTTGCCTAGAATACAACCGGGATAATAGTTTATGACATCCAACTGTAAGTTATTTTGTAAATTCCTATACTGGCAGATTAAACACCGCTAAATCTGCCAAATCGTTCATCACTCTTCGTTGTTGTTCAATGTTCAATGAATGCCGTTTATAAAACTGGACGCAAATATGTACACATTTTATACGGCCCGTATTTTTCACTCGATTTTGCCTCTGCCCGCATTCTTTTAAATAATTTGAAATATTTTTCCTTGCTCTCCTCTTTCATAGCACAAATGCAATTATGGATTTTACTGAGAGAGAATTCAACATGTATTTACCACTCAAAGATATGGTCCTCATGAAATTCAGCGGGGTACAATATTCAAATTTGAAGAACAGAATGACCCACTTGTTTTGTTTTTTTTTTTTTTCGATTTCGATTTGAATGACTTGATTGAGTACAAAATTATATACAAGAACTTTAAAGAGCATAATTAAAACAACTGACATATAACAGTACGACATCACTTTAAAATAATGTAAAAGTAAAATTGTACCCAAAAGGGTGTGCCTAAAGGGTCAAAGACCCATGAATGGGCCCCCCCCCCCAAAAAAAAAAAATATATATATATATACACACACAGAAAGTAAAAAAAATCTACATAAGTACTAAAAACGACAATTTGTACATCTGCAACGACCCACCCAAGTGCAAACGTCCTCGGGGTCAACGAACTCCGCCAGAAGAGCACCATATTTACCTTTGACAAACAAATCAGACAAAATAAACATTCACCTTTATAAATCATGATGCCAACACTTTAACTGTTAAAATCACAATGACAAGCGCAACAACAAACTGTAAGTACTATTTTATTTAACATCTGCTCCACAGTGACATAAGGTATGAAGCTCATTTATGAAAAATATCCGTATGAAGCATGCGTGGCATATGAGGTTATAGATTGGACTAGAACAAGGCGGGAAATGGTGGCTTTTCAGCCCAATTCGCCCTATAGCCATTTAGCCCCTGTCGGCCCTTCGCTGTAAATGGAACTAATTTGATGTGAAATATCCAGTTTCATTTAAAGGGATATTGGTAAGTTGGAGTATTGGACCATTGCATCACATTGGCAAAATGAAAAAAAAATTGATTCTATGAGGTTTAGGGTGGGGGAGTTGGGCAACAAAATTTAACAAAAATTCTAATTACTTTTTGCTTCTTTTTTCGTAGTGCAAAGGCCTTCGGAATTTTATAAATCGTCATTCACAAGGGCTCAGGAGCTCCAGTATCAAAAAATAAAAATAATAAAATAAAATTATGTCTAGAAAAAACATTATGGCAAGTAACATGGCCTCCAATACACTGCAGATCGGCCCAAAAGACAAATATAATATTTGTCATTAACAGCTTTTGGTTTTCTAAAAATGCAACGTATGAAATTTTAAAAGTGTCTCTAAGTAAACCACCCGCGCATATTTACATCAAGTCAGCTCATTTCATAAAATGTGAAGTTGAACTTCATCATACTGAAGACGTTATGATTAATACACTTACCTAGACCATAATATGCCTCTTAATGTTATGATTCACTGTTACATACTATAAGTTTTCGGTCGCACCAGTAACATTTTCTATTCGAGTATCAAAAGTTTCCCAAGACGTCATAAATCTGTACTCTCTTCTCACAGAAACAAATACGCACATTGCCCTATCCGAAGTATTTTGTTTTGTATTTCCAGTGGGTTACACTTTTACATTTAAGGCAAATTATAACACACTGAATTCCACTGTTATGCACGAGTCATCATGACATGAAGTCTTTGTAATCATTCTTTGTTCGTGCTTACACTGTATGTACACCATCTACATTTTTATAAATTCGTGCACTTCATGATTTAAATGAGTATTGATTTTCTAGCAAACTTATGTATTGTGGCTACGCTAAGAACTTAGTTTTATCAAAACACATGCGCGCACGCATTTAACATTTAACACTGATGTCGGTACTTACAATAAATGCATTGTAAACTACAACTATATACAACTATTTGCACGGGTGTTGAACACAATATTTTTGTGCGTCTCTAATAGTGAAATGTGTCAGTTTGGGAGGAATAGATTTTCCTCGCAGGAATAACATTTGCACATTACAAATAAAGACTGCCGGGTTGACAAGTAAGTAATATTAGTTTAAAGTTGAGTTTTCTTTTCTTTCATAGTCACCATATAGTAAATGAAATTATAAGATTAAGAGAGCAATTGGAGGCATATTGAATTATTAAGTTACTGTAGCAGTTTATTAATGCTGACGAAAAAAAATATTTCGAAAAGAAGTTTAAGTAATATTTTCTCTTTACGATTCCGTTGTAGTGCTACATGTACTTGTGGCATGAACGCGCGTGACCGTCCCTTTATTTTATTGAGCCCTCTCCCTGTGAGACACAACATTTTTGTTCCACAGCCACAGGCATATCAACGGTGGGATAGGCCATCACTGTGCTGGACCATTAAGGGTGCCGGGCGCGTTCTCTGCTCTCGGTTTAAAGAAGCCACTATCCGACGTGCACTCTCGTATTGTGACTGTCACAGTATTCGTCGTGACGTCAGTTATAAGCATGTCGTCCAGGATTTTCTTCATCTCGGGCGGCGGACGCCAGTAGTTCCGCTCTTCGGGGATGTACGGCGGCGCGGAGTCGATGCGACCTCGTCTGACCGCGTAGCCCTGCACGAGCTGTGTGTCGCTGGGGATGTCGTTATTAGCTGTATTTTCTACAGAGACAAACACCTCATCGACCGGGAAAGTAGCAGTTGGACTTGACAGGCAGTTCGATTCGTTGTTTCTGTTGTGTTGAGGGGCGCCTTCTTCGAGCACTGACGGAGAATGTAATATGGTCTCTGATTTTGTTCTTACAGGGCTGGTGTCTTGTTTAAAACTTGTGTTCGGTTTGTGTACGAGAGAAGTTACACTGTTGGTCACTGTTGAAGTGGGCGATTTAATCGGATTTGGCAAACTAGAGGATTTGGCAGGTTTCTCCTTTCTGATTGTCGCCAAAGTCTTTTTTCTTAAAGCTGCTGGGTCAAGTGACTTTGTCCGAGGCCGACCCGGGCCCCTTTTCACTACTGGCGTCGTAGGCTGTGAAACTGGTTGTTGGTCGCGATTTTTGGGTGGGCGTCCTCTTTTTCGCTTAACCGGCGGCTCTCCTGGCATTGGTGGTTTGGTTGGCTTGGCGACCGTCTTCGGTGCTCGCTGCACGTCTGCTTTTCTTTTGTTGAGCATTTTAAACTTAATTTTGAGCTTTCCTGCATTTTTCGCTTGTCGTTTCTTTTGCTGTGCCATTTGCCTGGCAAGTATATCCTCCGGTCGAGGTATTTTAGGGGGCCGACCTGGTTTGCGTTTGACTATAAGCATAGGTGGCGGTTCCATAGTGCCAGCGTCAGAACTAGCGCCGCTGAATCTCTTCATAATACTGGCCGCTGAGACTTTACTGGCGAAAACTCGGTTCCCTCCGCTGCAGACAACGGCAGAATCCGCGGACGTAGGAACGCTGGTTCGCTCATTACTTGGCTCACCGGTATTATTAGTTTTATCCTCGGTGACTTGGCCGTGTCTGCTTATGTCACCCCCTTCGTCCCTCTGTCCGCTGTCACTGGTGGTTTTACTGGTGCTGTCGTCATCACTGACGTCACTGCTGCTGTCCTCACCGGAGTTGCCATCTTCCTGATTGTTTTAGAAAACAACAGAGAATTGTATGCCAATTTAATTGCATAGAGCCGCGCTTTCTGGGATGACTTTATAATCTCCAGTCAGTGATATATCAGACACATTTAAAACATTTCTTAAACCCATCTTAACAAAAGCTAAGGCAGTTCAAAAGTGAAATTGTAAGAGATCAATTTAACTGCCATATAAAATCCAAAAAGCTCACATGCAATATCACTGAATGGCATACTCATTTTTCTAATCGACGTGTGCATGTGTGATGTTGTTATCTTGATATAATCATTTCAGCCATGTCTAGTAACAAAAACGTTGTTCCTTACCTCTGGTCTGTGCTTCGGTTTACGCCCCCGTTTCTTTCCTGTATATTCTCGCGTGTTTTGACTGAAAGAGAATAAAAACAAGCCTTCATATTGAGCTAGGCGTAGGCATCTTCATTTAATTAACCTGTAGGCAGTTTATGAGGGTCTCGCCCCCCCCCCCCCCTCACAAATAAATAAGCTGCTGTGAAATTATCCAACAAAGCCATGGCCTTGGTGTCGTCTCAGTTCTAAATGGGTACATTCTACATGTAAAACACTATTTACTTTTGAATATCAGTCTATGACGATGGCCAATAGTCTGTGGCACTTGGCTATCAAGAATTCTCCAGTCGAGCAATAAATAAAGTTTAACAAAATGCAGTTTTTGATTTCTTTGTGAATTAAAATACAACATTACGTTACATTTTCACCACTGAAAGGAAAGGGCAATGGCAAAGTAACCTTACATTATAATATGAATTAACAGTCATATTTCTGGTCTTCGCGGCTTTTAAAATACACTGTTACAGTAAAATTTGTTTTGATTTGGTAAGGAATGTTCAATCCATTGTGAAAAAATCTGCACTTTCAACGCAAAAATGAATGTACCTTTGCCAACTTCTTAGTCTGTTACGGGGGGAGGTTAATTTCAAGCATTGGGGAGAGAGCTCGTTTATATCCTACAATGGGTCTTATGAGATGAAGTCGGTCCTCTACAATATATTTAGTTTCGACACCGCTGCCAACCGCACAGTATGCGGCCCATATCTTCAAAAAAATTTAAATAGTTATTTTGTACACAGCATGGTCTTATTATTATCAGACTGATTCTAGTATAATGGTCATTGTCAGTAATCTCATTCATTGACATTTTTTGTTCAGCCATACACTCTACTTGCATCGATATTATTATTATTATATTTTTCTTCAGTTAAAATTTTCACAGGTTTTTGCGATATCAATTTTTCAATTTAGCTGTATTGTCGTTTTCAAAAATTTCCCTTAAATATATACAAAATGTATATGTACCTTTCTTTAGAATGAGAAAGATGGGGGAGAAAGGGAGGTACCGGGAGAAAATTATCTCGTCATGGAGCAGTTGCCTCGATTTCTGGCATTAAGAAAAATACCGGTCTCCATTTTTTCTTTCCCTATGATACACAACAGAAGCTAGCAAGTGAGACACCATGGATAGATAAGCATGAAATGGCACACATGGACACGTGTATCTCTCCCCCCCCCCCACCCCC